TATTTATTACCACTGTCAAAATTTTGTGGATCAGAGCCATCTGTCAAATTGTGGATAATGTTTTTTTTAAGCATTGAATGTTAAATTTGGTTCTTGAGAAGTAAAAAACAATTAGATTGACGTAGTTTTTGTAGCTTATTATGTCATTTATCAATTATTTTTCGTTCCTTTCACAATCATGACATTCAATCCATCTCAATAGAAACTATTACAGATTTATTCAAATGAGCCCATCCTTATAATTCATTCTGGTTTCACATTCCCCTAAGAACATAATTTTGATATATTCACGCCTTTGTTATACACCAATTGTCGGGTTCAATATCTGCGTCGGCTCAAAATCAAATATTTTGTTCCTAACGGAAACAATATCATTCAAGTACATCAACGATAACAAATAATAACGATGATAAATGACTCTGGAAAGCAAACATTAACTACAGATGCTAAAGAATATTAATAATTGTCAAACATAATACAGGAAAGTAATCGAATATAGTTCGTGATTTAATACCTGAGCTAACAATAACATAATAATAGTCAATTTCAGTTTATAAATAATAATGCTATAGAAATTCAATAGTAATAAAAAATCATAAAATTGTGACAATGTTATTGTTGCGGGCGTTGACGCAAACGCAACAACTGGACTGAAGCTGTGGAAGAGACGTTGTTGTGGAACGCATCAAATGAAATTCTACTAACGACGAAGTGCTGACTTGGACGTTTTAACTGTTGTGAAGCTGTTGAAGAAAAGTTGCTGTAGAACGCGTCAAATGAAACTCTACCAACGACGAAGTGTTGACGGGACCAAGTTCCTCTCTCACACTTATCCAGCTCTGGCGTACCTACCTACCAAAGTACCAAATCACAACCCAACGAAGTAAATTACCAACTACAACCGAACGTGAACTAGCCACCAATGCACCAAATGCGACCAATTTTCTCCCTTGGCCTGTTGACTGTCCTTATTTATATTCTCAAGTGTTGCAGGTGATTGGCTAATAAACTTCTTTCTATTTATACTCGCCAATCGTTCGTCAACAGCATATATTTTACATGTTTTTTTTCCGTTCTCGAGCTTAGTTCAATCGACTGTTTTCACTTTCTTTATGGCACGCCGACCGAACCCTTACACCAATAAAACACATATGGTTGATCAATTTGCTGTTTTTGACCCATATAATCTAAAACCGGAATAATTTTTATGTACAGACTAACATGTAAGCAGATCTGCATTTGACAGAACGGCATTATATAGAAAATATTTGATGAAAATAACTTTACATTATTTTTTCCCCCAAATTCCATTCCAGCGATTGCAAACATAATTTGACTGCCTGTTCAAAAATCTATTTGATTTACCAGTTAAAATGTGGTTATATTTGTTCGACAAAAAAAAACGTTCTACGTCGAGTGCGGAGGATCGCTCTTGCAGTTTAACTTAAAAGATGATTAATGTTCACTAGTTGAAGTTGGCGTTGATAATAGTTTTATTTTTTAAATGATGAAGAATTTCTAAGACGCTTTCGTTGTTAATGAACGAGTTATGTATTTTGGACTTTCTCGACAATGCTATATGACTATTGTAAGCGTTCACGCTCAAATTCTTGATTCACATAACTCAGTCATTTGCATTTGTCTTTTTTGCTACTTTTTAGGATCGTAATGGTATTAAACGCTGGAGTTGAAAAAACCCTAACGTCAGGATAGGCGTAAGAAGTAGGTATGCAATAACAACGGTATCAGGCTTTGTAAACTATGCACGAAATTTGGCTTTGTCATCACAAGTACCTCATTTTGATGAGCTAGGGCAGCTTGAGTAGACACTTTTCTAAAGATGCAGAGTAGAGAGATACTTCGGTAATTGTTGCTATCGCTGCTATCTTCTTTGTTTTTTTAGCAGAATTACAATGTTCTTTGGTATTGAACCCCATTCCAAGCATTTGCCAATCAATTTATGTAAAAACAGGCTTGCTGATTTTACTAGCTTCAGGCAATATCTTATCATTTCCAGGAGCTTTTTTGCAAGATAAGCAGTTTATAGTTCTGTTTAACACTTCAATATAGGTTAGCACACTGAGGGTGACTTTTTGGACTTTATTTCTTGCTGTCATCAGAGCCTGTGGAGTAGAGTGGTTGTCTTCTTTTGCTCAGGACCGACAAGGCAGTTGTACGGATGATTTCCCAATTAGAATTTATTGGCCAATTCTGAGGATTCACTCCTTAACTTGCATTGATGTCTTCCAACAAAAAGATGCGCTCCGTTTTAAGTATTCCAGTCATAGGACATGGTGTTGTCCAACATCTGATAAAAAAGATCTTTTTCCGCTGATAATGAACGTAGCGTTAGGGTGTATGCACTGATAATATTGACCATTCGGAAGGTACTTGACAAACTCAGAGATAGCATCTTTTTCGAACCGCCTGTCAGAGGCTCAATAAAAGCAAGAAAACTATAATTGACTGCAAAGCCGACTTCATGAATTTTTGCCTCTTTCTTGCTTTTAGCCTGTCAATAGAAGGTTTAGTTGGTTTCTCTTATGGAACAACTCTCAGCCTCTTGTCTTTGCCTCTTTCTTGTTTTTAGCCTCCCAATAGAAAATTTGGTTGGTTTCTCTTATGGTACCATTATCAGCCACCTGTAGACCTGCGATGTTAACGTTGAGCTTGATTAATTTTTTGTCTTTTATGGCACTTTTCTTTATAGTCCAACTACTGCAGATTGGTAAAAAGTGCGAGGCAAAAAGTTTTGACGTTCCAACTAGCAAGCTGGATGGTTAAAAACTTTGTTTTCTTTTTGATTTTTGGTGCGGTGATTTAACGGCAAATCTTTTGAACTGATTCTCTATGAACACGCACTTGATGAAATAAGCTAGCCATAGTGATACAGCACGTTATTGACTGGGGGCTGTTCTGATTAAGCGGTGGTAGCTGTCCAGTAAGATGCAAAGATCTTTCTTACTGGCGGAGATGACCCCTTACGTTTTTTGTCCAGCGCCACATCGAACGAACTTATAACTGATAGACTGCCACCTCTCGTGTTTTGCTGCCTTCATGGAATGAAAAAGCTGGAGTGTGCTGGCAGGCCTAAAAAAGGTTTAGAGAAATTGGCTTTTGACAAGGCAGCAAATTTCCTCTCACAGTAGAGGATCATCGGAACGGTAGGTGCTAATACAGCCAGGCTTCTGAGTTGCCGAAAATTATTATTATTATTATTATTCTTATTTTTCAGAGGTTGGAAATTAAATGCTTTAGCGTCTTCAATTTCTCTTTGGTTTTTTACTGGAAAAATTTATTTCATACGCAGTGGTAAATCGCTCTAAGCAGTTGAGGTTTGGAGTCAGAATTTTTTTTTTCATAGTTGAATTGTCAACCAACACTAACGGGTACCATCCACCTGGAGCGACTGGTTTTTAGGCGCCAGTTAATCGCCTTTGTTCTTTTTCCTATTTGTTGAACTAGTTTCATCTTGTAAAAGCCATTTTTATTTTTATATTTATGAAAGCTAGGAGCTGGACTTTATCAGAAGCTGTATTTGTTCACGGGGTTGTCGAGACCTCATCCTCTACACCAGCCCCTGCTATCACAGTCTTTGAAACCATTTATAATAATAATAGTAATTTTAAAGTCTCAACAAGTTAGGAAAATTTAAAAAAATATTTTTTATAATTAGGTTTTGAATTTAAAATTTAGAGAGAAATATGTTTTTTTAACACAACAACAGCTACCAAACAAATGTATCAAAGGACATTTTGAACACAATCTTAAATATTCAACCGAAAGACAGCTCAAGCGGAGGTGAAACAAGAGAAACAATTGTTTACAGAATGGCTGACGAAATGCTTCAGAAGCTGCCAGCGATATATAAGCCTCACCAGGTTTTTTTGTTTTATAATAAGCGCATTCATTTTTAAGATACATTGATTTTTATATAATAGGTTAAATCAAGACTCACCATCTTGGGAAATCTTCAGCCGTTGAATATTTTTTTAAAACAAGAAATTGATCGTATGGTGAAAGTGTTATCAGTAGTTTATAGCATTCTTACTGATTTGAAATTAGCCATCGATGGAACCATAATTATGAACGAAGTTAATTTTTTTTATTATTTAAATTGACGTATTAAACTGCAACTGACATTTTTTATAGGATTTAAAAGATGCCTTAGATAACATATTTGATGCCAAAGTTCCTGCTGTCTGGAATAGGATATCGTGGGATTCATCATCTGTTGGATTTTGGTTCACTGAATTGCTGGACAGAAATGAGCAGTTTTATTCGTGGCTTTTTGTAGATAGACCGAATTCATTTTGGATGACTGGATTTTTCAATCCACAAGGTAGTCCCAGATGTACTTATAATAACAACGTACCTTTCAGTAAATTTTAAAGGGCACTTTATAAATAACACTCAAAATAACTTAATATAACACTATTTTAAAAAATATAAAAATACTTTTTTTTAATTAGACTAAGGTTGTTAATAGCGGTGTAATGGCAGCGGCGCAACAGTTGCTCATATTCATACTGGCCGACCGTACCTGCGGGAGCAGGTCGGATATTCTCACCCTTCGTTTACTCACGCACTTGTAGATTCAAGTCGACTCACACGTACATATATATTTATATAAATACATACATACAATGAAATTTCTTTATGGCACCATTACATTCACGTGGTTATCTTTTATGTTAACGCACACGGACACGTGTAGGGTTGCACAGTCAACTGACATTTTGATCAAATTCAATTTTTTTTTTATTTTAACATGTAGGTACAGTATATGTTGTTTTTCCCATTTCTATTCATCATTGCCGAATCACAAACAGTGATTTCCTATCTCCTAAAATTCTCATTCCAGAAAGTTAGGTTTTACCAATTCCGGTTCCCGCGCTCATCTTTTACTCGAATAAATAAGTTTTGAATGTTGAAAACTTTCTTCCAGTACAAAATAAAATTTTTTAGCTTGAAATATTAAAATATAAACAATTGGGTCATTCTCTGTCAACTTGAACCATGGTCCACGCCCGACCATCTCCGATTTTTTTTAAATTTGAACAGTAAGTACCTCAATGTATTTCATCGACAAAATAAAATTTTTATAAAAAAATTTCAATTATTTTTCAAGTTATGAAGATTTTTGTGACAGCATCCTCAAATTTTTGAGCGATTTTTTTCAAAACTTGTACCTACGTAGAACGCTATATCTCTTGAACTAGCCAACATATCTTGATGAAATTTTTTGTGCATATCAGTGAAACAATGTAATAACAAAAAAAATAAATGTTATTGTCTCGAATCAAAGGATATTTTGAACAAAAAATCTAGAAAAAAATGAATTTTTTGAAAATTTCACCGATTTCAAAACAGCGTAGCTCAAAATCTATCGCAAAATAAATAAATATTTTTTGTTATTTTAGAAGTACCTTATAGTCACAAATAAATCACAAAATTTCGTTAAAATCTGTATTGAATTTTTTGAGCTATCGGAGCTCAAAATGTCAAAAATATGAAAAACTTCTTTTGTTTGGCGCCATTTTTAACTATGAAGAACCAAACGTTTTTTAATTTTTAAAATTTGTTTATATAGTGCTTTTATAGCTTAACAACATATCAAAAAATA